TATATATATATATATATAATTTATTTATATATAGTAGACAACATTTGAAGTGGATCAAAACCTTTCATCAAAGTTTGAAACAATACCCGTTCTTGTCTTAGGACAACTTTGCTGATCTTTTTTGATCCACTTCAAATGTTGACTACTATGTGTGTGTGTATATATATATATACACACATACATACATACATACACACATACGTATATTATTTAAATTCTTTTTTATTTATGTTTGGGTTAGCCTATAGTAATTGATTTCACTAAAAACAATAGAAGTCTATAGAACACTACCACTAAAAGTTAGGGGTTGGTGAGATTTCTTTCTTTCTTTCTTTCTTTTTAAAGAAATGACTACTTTTATTCAGCAAGGATGCATTAAATTGATCAAAAGTGACAGTTAAGACATTTATAAGATTTTACAAGATTTCCGTTTCAAATAAATGCTGTTCTTTTGAATTTCCCATTCATCAAAGGATCTTAAAAAAATATGAAGCAGCACAACTATTTTAACATTGATAATCATCAGAAATGTGTCTTGAGCAGCAAATCAGCATATAAGAAAGATTTCTGAAGGATCATGTGACACTGAAGACTGGAGGAATGATGCTGAAAATTCAGCTTTGATCACAGAAATAAATTATATTTTACTGTGTGTGTTTGTGCTGTACCTGGCAGCAGCTTGTGTGTGAGTCTCTGGCAGTGCGGTCGGTACACCTGAAAGCGCAGCTGAGTGTTTGCGCTCAGAGACTGTGTGATCAGCTCCAGAGACGACAGACGCCCCGCGCTCAGAAAGCTCAGTCCAGGCGCGATACAGTACGAGACCAAACGCCATACAATACATCAACACCGGACAGAGATGTCATGCCAAACCTCTCACAGCAGGCGTCAGAGTTGGGGTACTTTTTATCCAAAGCGACTTACAAATGAGGACAATGGAAACAATCAAAATCAACAAGAGAGCAATGATATGCAAGTGCTATAACAAGTCTCAGTTAGCTTAACGCAGTACACGTAGCAAGGTTTTTTTGTTGTTGTTGTTGTTTTTTAAAATATATAATAAATATAAAAAACCGATAGAATAGAGAAAGCTAGTGTTAGAGACCTTTTTTGCTGTTGTTAATTGTATAATAAATAATAATAAAATAATAAAAAGAAAACAGATAGAATACAAAAAGATTAGAGAAGTTAGTGTTTTTTTAAAGAAAACAAGCAGTTAGTAAATGAATAGAGAGCAAGTCTAAAAGGGGATAATAAGATTGATCTTAATCTATAAGATTAGAAGTTATAAATTATTTACTAAACTAAAGGCAACATTAATTAATGACAAAATACTAGGCTATAGAAAAGAAATGACAAATTAAGTTTGCAAGTAGCACAAACCTGTAGTTGTCATTTGTGAGGCATGTAAGCACTGAGATGGGGCTGTACCTGTGTGATTTTATTTTGTTAGTTTTATTTTCATCTATTCGGTCACATTCACTACAATTCACTACAGTTGCACTACAGACAGTTCAATTTCAGTGTTATCGGTTGTCAATGATGTATGTATGTTATGTGTGACAAAATGGCAAATAAACATATTTCAAGTGTTAAATGTGCTGGTCTAAATAACTGTTAAACAATTATTTTAACTAAATGTTTTTATTCTTTTGTTTTATCCTGCTTGCAGATGGGTGGGTCATTTTTGACCCATGTGTATAAACTTGATGTAGTAACAAAAAACCTATGAAAAAATAAAATATTAATTTGTGGTCACTGTAAAAAGATATTTTGAATATTCATGGATCAAGGAATTTATAGATCAGGGAATATTAAATGCTGAAATAAACTGATTTCAAAAGATAAAACAAAAAAAAATACAAATGGCCAGTGAAGTATGAAATAACATAGGAAATGAATACGGGTCATTTTAGACCCATGTTGTGCATTAGAAGGGCTTTTCATAGCTTGTGCATCAAAGGGTTAAAGAGCCTCACATTTACAGATACATAACTCTGAGTTAAACTAGACTTAGTTGAATATTTATTACTGAATATTTGACTAAATGAGCTGAATATTTCGTGACCACACACACACACACACACACACACACACACACACACAGGTAAACATGTCAACATCACCAAACCAAAGCTCAGCACAGATCATACATTAATCATACTTTTTTTACATCAAAAGATAACAGAACACAACAAAAAGATTGCACAAATGGCTTCATACAACATTTCTTTCTAATGATATAATGATGAATTCTAATGAATTCTAATGAACAGAATTTGTCCTGGTGAAAATACAAAATTATAAAGTTCATTAAAAAAAAAAAGATTTATAATAATTTTTTTATTGTATTTTACACCTTTTTCACACCTATTTTCTATTGTCATACAACATTACACTAAAAAGTATTTAAGATCTTTAAATTTTACAGTACACACTCGTATATTATGTCAACAAAAACTTTTATTTTGGATGCAAATAATTGCGATTAGTCGTTTGACAGCACTAGTATGTACATATATATTTTTTAAAATAATTATTTATTTATTGCATTTCAATTTGATTAACTTCCTAGAATTTGTCTGAATGAAAATATAAAGATATTTTAAAATTGTATAATATAATATTTATATTTATAATATAATTTATTAATTTATTTATAATTATGTATTTATTGCATTTTAATTTGTGAAAATACTAATAAAGTTTTTTTTTTAAGTATGTATGATTATTCATTTATTGCATTTTATACCAAACGCTACAAATAGACTTTTTACAACAATAAAAAAAACTACAGTATATAAAATCTTTGAATATGACTGTATTTCTAAGATTCATGGTAAAAGTATATTTAAAAAAAAATACAATAACTTTATGTATATAAATGGAGTGATTGATTAAATGAATTTTACACCAAAAGAAACAAACAATACACAAACAGGCTTCTTATAACATTACAATAAAACCTGTATAATTTGATTGAATTCTTAGAATTTCTCCTGGTAAAAAAAAAAATACAAGACACAATCTACAGTTAATTTAAAAAGCTCTTTTCGGCTCTATAGTTCTGTGAGTGTTTACCTCGACGCTCCCGGCGGGTGTGTTGGGCACAGAGGAGTGTGTCGCTGTGGGGCTGCTCAGAGGACTGTGGGAGTGAAACACAGCGGTGCCCACCGCACACACAGCGGCATCAGGAACACGCACTGCAGACAAACACAGACGCTTATCTCCTGCGGAGAAGAGTGTGCATGCAGACTCTGTCCCATCAGCACTCGTTCTCACATCAAACACTTTTGTCCATACGTAAAGCTGAGCACACAAACACACAGCTGCAGCGTTACTGATTGAATCGACTGCTGTTTGAGCTGCGGTGCGTGTTTCGATCTTTCTCTGCATCACCGTTCTGAGGTGTTCAATACTTTGAATAATGAAAAGAAAAAAGCTGAAAATCACATCAGGGGGAGAATAATAAGTGAAATAAGCTCAGCTGGGTGCAAAGAGAATAACTGCGTGCTGTGACATAATATCTCTGCCATTTCAATTCAAAAGTGCGTTTCATTTTTTAGTGACCCTGTTATTTGGGAATTGAACATTTGAATTTCATCTCATCCACTGAATTTGCTGCACTAAAGCGGTGCAGACCTTCGAAGCAGCAACGGCCACTGCAAGGTCATTTTCAGTGGAAATTCAAATGAAATGTGATTTACTTCATTCCGTGTCAATCTGAACTTTGCTCATGTGCTTCGAGTGACGTGATTGGAGCAGGTCAATTACCTTGACCAATCAGACTTCAGCAGGAGTAACTGGCTTCATGGTTTATTTGACTTGCTCAGTGATAATCAGACATGTAGGCCGCATCCCAATGCACACGCTTCTGTGTCATATTTTGCTTGAAAGGTGCATTAAATCATTTCTTTCTTATCATTGAAACAAATCTTGAACTGAGCTGGATAATGACACTATTGTCTTCTGTAGAGCTGCTTTATAGCTGAAGTCTGTTTCATCACCGATGAACTTTGCAACGCTGTTATTGAACTAAACTAAACCAACACTGAATTAAACTGAGCTAAATAATGAAACTACTGTTTTCTGTAGAGCTGCTTACAGCTGAGTTAGTTTTAAAATGTATGAATTTTGCAGCATTTACAAATGAATTAACTTTATACTGTAACTGATCATAAAGAAATATAAAGAACACTGTGAAGCTGCTTCAAAATAATCGATATCGTATAAAGTGCTATATACTTGACGTGACATAAATAAACTTGACATGATTGAAAAATTACACAAAAGAAGAATATTACTTTTACAAAGTACTTTTAATATTAAGCACAATTTTATTTTTAAATAATTAATAAATTGATAAATTAATAAAATATATTTTTAATTATTAATATTTTTAAATAATTTATATATA